GCAGCACGATAGATAAGATACAGCGATTCCATTTCGATGCTGGCAGCCGTACTCAAGAGTCGCCTGCAGTACTCATTGAAAGCCCTAGCGGATCATTAATATGTCGTTGACAAGTTAAGAGTGCCAATCGAGCTACCCGTGAGCAAGCATCAGCTCTTCCATCCTCGCAAGGGCGAGGCAAACCGCCGCCCGCAACCTTTGTTCCAAAAAAAGTTGAGATTCTAGCAGTCTAAAGGATTAAGTTTTCAGTCTCTCTCTCTCTCTCTCCCGTGTCTCTCTCTTGGCTCGCACGTATGCACAAACAGACAGCGCACCGGAGAAATAGCAGTGATAGCGATCGAAGTGGCTGAAGAAACTCGTTGGTGGGGTCGTTGTCCAGGAGCATCCGCATGTATGCAGCAAGCCACATCAGAAGATATCGAGCTGCTGTTGCAGACAAAGTCTTTTGAGAAATAGTTCGATATTCTCGACTCGTAGGTTTCAGGGTAGCCACAGAAAACAGCTTCTGGCGCGCACGGTCTGGCACACCTCGATTGGTTTCTTGTGGGTTTCAAGGTTTAGGTTGTAATCATTTCTTTGCATCTAGGGTTCTCTGTGACTCGCACCAGTTGCGATACTCGGAGAACAGCTCGTTGAGCTTCGGCTCGCGGCCGGGGCCATCAGACAAGTCACATAGTAATCCCACCGCCACATCTGGTATAATGGCGAGGTGGACGATATGCATAATATCACCCAGGATGCCTCTTGATGCAATTCAGAAGACAGACACTAAAGTCCAATAGGTGCTGCCAGATTGCGAAACGGGTGGAATCCGGTGATTTGGGTGAGCGGGGAGCTGCCGTGGATCTGACAGAACTCATCGGCACCGGATACAAGCCTTCAGAATCAAAATTGGGATGAGGGGTTGCGTTCAAATTCAGGCAGTCATGCACTNNAGCCAAGAAGCGTTTGTCTGTGAGCCGCTCGCCTTCCGAAGCTCGTGTATAGCAGTTCCTTGTCATTCGGAGCATCTTCGTCGCCGAACTGGTACGTCCATTGTAAAGCCTGAATCTGCTATTGGACGGTCTGAACTCTAGACAAAACAGGACCATTAGTTCCTTCGGTGATGTTACAGCCAAGGGTCTCCACAGAAGTGGCACATCAGCTTCCTCGAGTAGTCTCCTTCGGTGGCTCGGCCCGGCGTGCTTACATTGGAGTATATCTTCAGGAACACTGGTAAATTATTAGTGTCAAAAACATACAAGCCTTGGTTTGCTTCCGAGCAACTCTGGAGATTAAAAATTTTCTTCGTGAACTCGAGGTCTGACTGAAAGCCGTCCATAATGCCGATGAAGTCGCCGGCTATGCGTTGGCCAGCTCGCTTAAAACGTTGGGGCATGTAGGAAGGCGAGAACTCGTTGTTCCACGGGTCACTTTGGGGATAAATCCCCTCACCTGCAAAAATAATTGAAGTATCATTCGCAAAACCGATTGCAGTACAATCCCAAAACCAAAAAAATGCAGCAGCTTAAAATGCAGTTATGCGGCCCAAACAATTGAACGACCATGCTAGTGTCCGGAGTATCGATTGACGGCAGCTCCCGGCATGGTAAGCCATGTTCATACAGCTCAGCCTGCAGACAATAGGCTTTTGAGTGCTACGATCACGTGTGCCTGTGTGCGTGTGCGCATGTGTCTGTGTGTATCTATGTGCATATGTCTTTTTGTGTGTGATCTGCAGCAGTTGTTGCTATGCTAGTGCCAAGCATTAAACTGCAACCGAGATGCAAGAATCGAGACTCCATTGTGGAGGAGGATCCAAGCGGAGCCAGGAGTGCAAAGCACTCGAAGTACTGATGTCCTGATTTTTACGCATACAATAATTAACGATAATAATCTAATTCCCAGCTAGCATAGCATGGCAAGTGGCGGTGCGATTCTGCCCCGTCGCCGTAAAGCCGCAACGGAATGCAAAACCGTAGATCGTGCTCCTGGCATATCATCAGACATCAAGTTTATGTACGAAGATGGCACATGCACTTTATAGCGTAGGCGTAGGCCTGGAGAAGTGGGTGCTTCTGGTACCAATCTGTAGCGGAGACTTCCTTCCAATAGGCCAAAAGATCCTGCTCCTTGCAAGAGCAGTTCTTTAGTTCAGGTGGGCAAAAATACAGGTATGTATGTTTGTATGTATATAGGTATGTAGATAACTAGGTATGAATGCATGTGGGTATGTATGCATTCACGTATGCATGTGTGCATCATGCTTGGGGTAAACATGTAGGCACAACAGAACGTCTAACGTGCAAGCCAGTCACTGTCCCAGTCACAAGTTCCAGCTTGTTCGCATCGTAGAATGCGCCGATGATTTCATGCGGCAACAGCATATGATGCTCGACAAGTCGCGATGTCTTGCCGTGGGCATCTGGATATTCAGCCTTCAGTTGGATCCTGAGGACGGGACAAATCGGCATCGAGGCAACATGGGCTGATGTATCTCGCTTCGAATAAGCTTTAGCCGAGTTGCACAAACGGTTGAGGTAGGATCTTACGCCACGGTTGCCGATCACACCAGCGTGCGAGAGCCCGCATTTTGCCCCAACTGTTCTGGTTCTCGAAGGCATGTGCCAGTTGCAATAAATCTTTCCTCGACTGATTTACTGTACTTGCTGGATCAAGCTAGTGCTGTGCATACACATGGTCACTTAACCCGGATCGGTAGTTAATCCGAAATGCGGTACCACAGCCCGAGGAAGCTGGCGGAGATTACTCAGCGACTTGGCCAGCTCGTCAAGGGGGACCTCCAATTGAGAAAGATAGGTTTGGGATTTAGGGACGATTGTCTGCATGATGGGTTCGATCAAACCAAGCCAACGAGCCTTTCCATGTGACAGCTGTCGTAGAATATCATCGCAAGTGTTCTGGACATAATCTTGTGCCCAACTGGTACTCGAAGTCGAAGCCATGCCAGAATCATCATTATGTGCCCATGGAGGAAGCTACTGCAAAGTAGGAAACTAAGAACTACTTTGGATATAAGGTCGAGTCGCGATAGGGGCTGTGGGTGCCATAAGGTTTCGGGCTTTTGTAAGTTTTCTTTAAAGTTAAGTTTCAGTTGAAGTTTTGTGCCGGGTTCTGGTATACTGAGACCTTGTCTAATATAGGAAATGTTCTGGATTTAACGTATGTTTGGAGTTCAGGGGATAGGGTTTATGTGGGTTTGGTGTGTGGCGGTTTTGGAATATGGTCTACAAAATTGTGTCTGATGCTGCAATGCTCTCCCGGGGGGATCAACATGTATCATACATTAGGTCAAGGTTCAGATATAAAGCGTCAAAGTTATTGGCCTGAAGTCATAGCTTTCGGCTTGCTAGGGGCTCACAATTAAGCCAAGCGAGCTAGGTCGTCTCGATGGTGGCTGGAGCTGCATCATGAGTCCAATATGATCGGCTGCAGGCCGGGCCCGTCCAATGTGCAGCTCAGGATTTTGCACAGCAGCAAACGACGATCACACACATCACCCCGATTGATCCCATTGCAGTTCTTATGCTTGGGATTGCAAGACCCATCGGCTTCTTGCACTATCACACGCAGCACAAACATACTTTGCGGGTTACATGCACTCTAAGTGTCGGCTGCTTGTGCTTGCAAACAAACCGCCCCCAAAACGACCAACTCGAGCGCACACGATCGTACGTGCACATCAGCAGCCTAAGGCGCTAGTGCGAAAAAGTATCGGCTTAGTGCTCCTCCTCCCAGCAGCCCTCAGCTTCTTGATCCGGCCACTCTTCGCCCTCACCCGGCATTTCTGCATCCTCATCCTCTTCCTCCTCCTCTTCCGCGCCTGCGGCCTTGGCCGCTTCTTTCTTCTTCTTCTCCTCGGCCTTCTCCAACTTTCTCTTCGCGGAAGCTTTGCCTCAGATTGCAAAGGGGTGGGGGCTGACCATCGAGTTCGGTGTTTATGGTGTTGAGAGATTGCGATTTGGGACACGATGTAGGGTTTGGACTTTTGGTATATTGAGGACTTCAGATCAATATCTGGGTTTGAGAGTTTAGAGCTTATAAGGCTTTAACAATAGATTACAACTTAGGGTGTTGCAAAGGGTTTGAGGTTTGGGACAAATTAAGTTTGGTGTATGGAGTCCGTGTGGTAATACATTCACCGTGGGCTCAGGGCTTCGAGTCTAGAGGTTTCCGTACAGTCCCAATATGACAAGTACAAGGAACGTCGCTCGTGGCCCTGCCAGATTCCCTCGGCATCGTTGACCTGGGTCTGGAATGCCTGGCGGGATGATCGAGTTGCTCGTCTACTGATTTGCTCTAATATACGGTTATTTTAGGGTTTGGGGTTACTGGATTTAGGCACCTCGAGCTGGGACTTGTGCATCTGCATAGTCTCCAAGCACTCCTCCAATGGCTTCTTATCGAACACCATCTGCTGCATCCTGAGCTCGCCACGAATTGGGTTATGTAATTGTAAGACTTCAAGGCTTTGGGATTTGGGAGTCATTCGGGTTTGATTTTGGCTTCAGGAATCATTTGGGTTTAAGTTAAAGCAGAGAGTCGTATCTCGAATAGCGATGCACTCCTTCGTGATCCTTCCCAGTTGGGATATCAAGCCCTCCTGGTTTTCAAGCCCACAGCTGCCGAGGCCGGCGGCAACGTACACAGCTTTATCGCAAAGATCGCGAATCCTGGGCTGCATGTTTGTATACACATGGGTTTAGGGATAGGTAGCTCAATTGAGGCTTCGGGGCTACCACATGCATGATGGAGGGTTCCGGACTGAGTCACGCACGCCTGGAGGTCCTTCGAAAACCCCTTGCGGTCCTGTTCTTCTTGTGTCAGTTCCTGGCACGTCCATTAAAATTATATGGGGTTGAGGGATCGGTAATCAATTCCAGGAAAGCCAGAGAGGAGAGAGAGAGAGAATCAAATCCGATCGAATCGGTCCTTCTTGCTTTTTCCCTTGCCTTTGCCTTTCCCTTTACCTTTGTGTCCTTTCCCTGTGCCGGCTGTCGTCATGCCCGCAACTCTTGCTTGCAAAACTTCGGCCATCGCTTGTCTCTCCGCTTTGTTGTTTGAGGGCGACATGCTGGCACTGGTTCGATTGCCAACTCGGCTGACGTTGGAACCTGAGCTACGTAATCGTGCGTACTGACAAGTGCAGTGCTATGAGCAGCTCCAATTAAACTGACAGCAACCGAGCAACTGATACTTTTGATGGAGTCAAAGACTTTATAGATGACCATGTCCTTGGAGTCGAACTGGGGGTGTTTTTTTCCAGCCTGGCCTTAGGATACAGACGACGGGATTCTCATGAAACCATAGTGGCTTGTTTCTGAAGAATATAAGGTTGAAATAATCTGAGCCAAGCGACTGTCCACGATAGACTGAATGAAGGCAGGTCCTCCCGGTAGTTTCTCGTATTTCTCTTTGATGAGACAAAGAGGCATCTCCGTATATGTCTCCTTGTCTTTATTCTCCGAGAGCCTGGCAAACATACCAGACATGCTAGCTGTCGAAAGTTTGTGATTGCAGAAATGATCAAGTCCGAGGCACTCTTCGTAAAAGGGCTCGACCGTGATCGAAGCGAGGCCCTCTCGGTCGAGGAGGAATGCTTTCAAGAACTCGAACCTGAAGCATAAAGGGTCTAGCATTGAACCGAATAATTTACCGAGAGAACTGAATGCTGCAAAAGAAACCGAGCCATCGAGTTCGGGGGAGTCGCCGCCCATTGGGCTACGAGCCCTTTCCTCAGGCCTCAAGCTCTAGAAAGGTTTCGTTATTCTGGAACGAGATCAGTGCAATATCTATTCATGTATATCCCACCTTGGCCGCTCTTCATTCTTCGTCGCAACGCTTCATTCACGGCTTTGCGCTGCACTAGTGGGATGTCGCCAGGTCCACTGAGGGCCTGGCTTGAGAAGTCGTAAGACATTGTATAAGAGTACGCCGGGTTTAGGGTTTAGGGTTTAGGGTTTAGGGTGTTCCGGGCTGGGGACTGATACCACTAAATCAAAGCCTAGTCGGCTAGTCCTATACAATGTATCCATATGCGCCTGAATATGCTTTCGCTCCTCATCCGTGAGCGCGGCCTTGCCTCAGCTTACAAACCTTACACCTATTAAAGCCCGAAACTTCGAAAAACCTTGCAAGACTCACTGGGGCTGTAGGCTTGGGTCACATATACAGGGTAGAACTGCGTGTGGATTAAAGGCCTGAGTTTGCTACTGCAAATGAGGCACTTTATCTGGAACTCTGAAAGCATCCAGCCCGGTGGTCAACGGCTCCATCTCCACAGCCCCTTGGCCATCAGACATAGTCGATATGCCAGTGTCCGTACGGAGGATAGGCCTGAGTTGCTGGGATTCTGTTTAAATTATCTATAATTATACATTCATGCGGAACGTGTCTGATTTAAGTTGAAGCGGCCTCTTGGGTGTAGCTGTCGGATCCGATGGAGTGGCACACCCGGATGCAGTCGAGTAGTCGGTTTCTGGAAGAGCATAGTAAGCATGCATGCATGCATACTGTATATATGACATGTCACTCCATGTAATGGGTTTAGGGGTTTGGGGATTTAGG